AAGGACGTCACGCAAATGGCTACACCAAAGCAACTGAGGAAAACAATATCGAGCAGCAGGTATGCTAGTATAGCCAAGAGCTTAAGAATAGCTATTCTTTCGAAATCCTACCCGGAATCAACTCTCTCGAGAGATGAGCAAGGTAAGATCGAAGAACTCCTCATTGAGGAGATGTATAAAGGATGGGATGCCAAGCTACGATTTACGGATGGGAACGTGTTGAACTCACTACGTGTGTCTGGGAAAACACACAGAGCTTACATATGATGACGATCTACCTCCCAAGAGCTAAGAGTGTCAACACGGAAAAGCTGCTAAAGCTACTCATAACACAGAACGAGGGCCTACATACTCGGCTGTGGAGAATTTTCAGCAGCAAGGATTTGAAAAATGGCAAACTCCTATCGATCGGGATTAATAACTAGTCTCAGAAAGCCATAAAAGCCAACGACTGTAAGATCTTCTACAGGTTCAGCTTCATCCCGGTTCACCTGCATAAGGGGCGGGAGAACAAGGAGGGAATTAACCCAGTTAGGGAAACCACATCAGCTGAAGGTCCGATACCCGCAACTGTTGTGGAACAAGTGGAGGATGAGGCGACGAGGAGCGAGATGATTGAGGAAATCAGTGTGCTACCTCATGAGAGTAAGGACATTGAAATCCTAGATCTCTCCCTATTAAACTTGGCGCCCGATGACGACTCCCACAGAATCTCCCTGTCAGACATTGACGATGATCTAGCAGAAGAACCACTTGATGACCAGCATTTAAGTCGCCCAAATAAATCTACACCATGCAAAAGCTGCATCGGCAGTTATTGTACGCTCAAATCGAACTTGAGTATAGTGCTGGTCCAAGAACTCTAGATCCACAGGGGTCGAATCTGTGGTTTGACTGCAAGGAATATGCAGGCAATTTGGGATGTAAGATATGATAAACCAAGAACCTGCATTTAATTGAATACTAATATTAATTTTATGTCTTTCAGAATTTCTCTCCAGGGACATCGTAGCCATACAAATTCCGGAAAACAACAACAGAGTTCTATGGAACGTGGTCGTAGCTACAGGGCACCTACCAGGAGACGACACTCAGGTACCATCTGCAGAGGTCGATAAACTGGTAGACTACTGCGAGAGAACGAAAATACTACTTATTGGCTGTGATTCAAACAGCACAACGAAGTATGGGGAAGCACAATCACCAATAGAAGAGGTAAGTACCTTTTAGAATTTATAACTAGTAAAAAATTAGAAATATGTAATGTAGGGAAGACACCAACATTTGTAACTAACTCACCCAAAGAGGTCCTAGACAATATCATAGGAAATACTTGAGGCTGTGAACTTGTCTGATCTGATCATAGAATCCTAAGGTCCGAAAGCAAGGAAGAGAGATCCTACTCACCCGAAATCGTGCAGACCAATCTGCCTTACATCCTTCATACTTTAAGTAGTAGAAAAAGTCATGGATAACTATATCAGGAGTACAACACTGAAAGAAACTTCACTCTACAGCTGCCAACACGCCTATAGGGCAGGTCAGTCGACAGGAACGGCCCTATATCAACTAAGAAACACGATTCAGGACAGCATAGAGAAGAAAGAAATAGCAATCAGCGCTTTCTTAGATATTGAAGGAGACGTTTATAACAATTAACATGAGATCATAAACTGAACTCTTTGTAGAAAAGGAATCAATGGCACACTTTCACTCTGGATAAGCAACATGCTCCGCACCATTAGAGTAGAAATTTCGACCAGTAATGGCAATATTTTTGCAAACACTTCGCGGGGGTGTCCTCAAGGTGGAGTATTATCACCCCTAATGTGGAGTATGGTAGTGGATGAACTTGTAGCCGTCGATATTCTCAATAATCACAGTAAGCTGGATTACCAACTCTTCGGAGTTGGTAATGTAGCCCGTGGTGACCCGTTAGATATCCCACCAGCAATCTCAACTCTGTGGTGACAATAAAAGTAAAAAAATTATTTTCTAAGAAGTTTCAAGTTTCCGGCTTAACTAAATAAACATAACGTAATAAATAATTTTCAAGTTTAAATATAGCTTCTATGTTTTCAATTCCGTTCAAGTACAGAAACCGCGCTATATATTTCTGTATCGTGAATATAGCATTTGTGACTTTTATTTTACTCAAGCAAGAATATAAACACAAGTCACGGAAAACCGCTATAAACTATTGGTAAAATTGAATAGGAATGGTTTCCAAATCCAGGGATACGCCGATGATGTGGTAATAATCTGCAGAGGAAAATTTAAACAGACTCTGTGCGAAAGAATCGAATTAGGCCTAGAAATAACAAAGGAATGGTGCAATTATGTTGGACTGAAAATATATCCAGCAAAAACAACGATTGTACCATTCACGAGAAAATACAAAATAAAAAATCTTAAACCCATCCGTTTAGATGGGTTAGAAATAGGTAAAACCACAAAAGGTGATAAAATTTTTGGGGTATAATTTTAGACCAATAATTACTATGGAAATCTCACATCCAAGAAGTGATAATATAAGGCAACCAATCTAGAACGCCTTTATGACATCTAGATACATCGCAGGTAAGAATTGGGGGTGTACACCAAAGTCACTGCGATAGATATACACAGCAATAATCACACCTATGGTCACTATGGTCACGGATCAATAGTCTGGCAAAACTGCACAAAACAGCAAAGCGTTATCAAAACACTCAACAAAGTACAGCGACTTGCATGTGTAAGCATAACAGGAGTGTAAACATAATGAGAACACACACCTCTTCACATCTATGTGCAATCACAAGCGAAGAGGGCTGTTCTGAGAGTAATTACAAATAGGCTGGTCTTGAAACCAACAGCAAAAAATCTGATACTCTGGCTGCACAAATCCCAGAAACTGAAATGCCAACGGACAGGATGATTATAAAGTATAACTTTACAAAAAACTTCAAAACTGAACTTCGCAACAAATAGAATTGGGAAGGCTTGTCCAAAACTAAAAAAAAAAATGATTACCAGACCAGAGAACCAGAGAAGAGAGAGAAACTGCATACCATGTACTTGGAAAGTGCCCGACACTGATGCACAAGCGAAAGAAACACCTAGGAGGGTATTTCATGGATCATAAAGATTCAAGACTAGGAAAGGTAGGCTCTATACTGTCTTTCATTAAAGAAATCGGACTTGGAGAAACACTCTAACCCGAGTAAGGTGCACAAGAGATCTTTTAGGTCGCACTGCACAATCCCTTACTTTTTTTTAACCTATACTTTCCAGGCAGTATGGAATCATATGAGGCCGCACAAGGTTTAATATAATGTGCATTAAAGACAATATTCAACAAGTAATATGTTAAATGTAAATGAATTTTATATATTCTATATATTAAATATGTTTGAATAGTCTGTTTTTGCGAAAGCAGAAATTAGCTGATCAAAATTTGATATTTTCTGAACCAGTATAGATATTGAAATAACATTTTCCTAAAACTTTGAAATGACCTTTGTTTTGAATCTAATTTGATCCCAATCGGCCTATCGGAGCCCCTCCAAAAATGGTCCAATTTTACATTCTCTTAGTTTTCTCAGAAACTATAATAGGTAGAAAGAATAATTGGTTGAATTTTATAGGTAACGTTATAATATATAGTCGAATTTTAATAGGCTAAATTTTGTTTTGGCGCACTGTGCTTCGAAAACTTATATGAAAAGTGATCTAGTCTATTTGTTGTGTTACTTATCACCGAATTTGTTTCAATAATAATTTATAAAAAATCTTTATGACAAACACATACTTTATATAATAATGTATAGTCCGAAGCCCCACCTTAAAATTGTTTTTAATATTATATTCCATTAGATATGGTGTTGTATAATTTATACTTCTGATTAGAAGACAATATTAAAAAAAGTAAAATTTATGAGCTGCTCACAAATAAGAAGACAAGCACTGACAATAAAAAATGTACATGATGTGAATAAAGAAATTAAAAAGAAAAACACAATAATAACAATAAATAAAACAAACACTAACGAAAACAAAAATAATATCATTTTGTATTGATATTCGAAAATAGATTTTGACTAATAAACTGAAACTGAAAGACTTTAAATTAAAAAATCAACAGAATAGCATCAAAATCATCCGTTGGACTTATGAAAAAAAACTGACAAACACAATTCGCGCATATACACACACATATATATTCGAAATCGCGTACTTTATTGAGACGAGTGGACATATTATGAAAGCATTCCAACGATCCAAGATGATTAGAGCTACACACAAGTCAAAATATTCTGACATAATAACGTAATCAGATACAAAACAAAATAAAAATTTTGAAATGCACTTGAAAATTTTATACAAACGCATTTGTCTATGACCACCAGCGAAGCATATTTTTAAATACACACAGCTTTATGCGCAACCTATGTCAATTGTGTAGGCCATCCTTGCACATACATCACAAACACCATACTCACATATACTCATATATGTATATAAACATACTGCAAGATTTCTATAGTGGGATAATATCCAGTAACTTTAAAATTAAAACTTTAAATTTTATTTGAAAAAGTATCCATAAACAATTTTTAAAAATCCTTTTATCTTTTTGTATGTAGAAACAAAAGCTTATTGATAAAAATAAATACAAAATAATACTGAATTTAAACAAATTGTGATGAGTACTTAAAAATAGAGAACAGACGAAAACCCTAAGGATGAATAGTTCGACTATGGCGAAATGGTAGTGGGTGTGAAGTGGGGTAAAATTATTACAGCATCACATTCAGCGGAAGTTTCTCAGTTTATGTGTTTATGTGTGTGTGCTAAGTTTGTATACGTGAAGTTTTGAATTTGTGCTCTACATTCATATACAAACTTATGCCTGGTACGAAAGCAAAAATTTACGCGCTCCGAAATGTAAGTCTTGGAGCTATAAAATTTGTGTAGGGAGGAGTGCGCAGCGCTATAACAATAATAAAAGTACATACCAAAAATAGGAAGTTTATGAGAACAACCAAGTATTTAACACAAGAACAGCAGCCATTAAGCCCCATTTTTTCCTTTAGTTATATTGAACACTTTAGTTTAATTTCACTTTATTATATTCAACTAATTGCTAAATGCAATAGTAATAATTAAACTGTTTCGAGCACTATTAATCTTTTTTATTAATATAATTTTTCATTCAATATTTTAAAATTTTCTTAACAATACTGCGACTCCTACACTACAAAACACAATTTCAACTGCTCTCACGTTCGAAATGAGAAAAACAACTGAAAATTTTCATTCCTTTGAAAGTATAGTGCTGCCATATTAACGTTGACACAATAAACAGAAATAGATATAAATATTATAAATAAGGTGGCCAGAACATTATTACATTTTTGTATTTGAAATAAATTTTATAAAAACATAAATTCAAATTCAAATTTTATTTTGAAAGAATAATAAAATCTAGATTTGCTTGTAAATATGAGTATTTCATGTATTACAACATATTAACTGGTAAAAAATGCGAAATGTATTCCTGTTGCGTTTTCGATTGGTAAATATGAATTCAACCTAGATTTACTCTCGGTCTGTTAAATTTCTACAAAAATCTAATATCATGTATGTGCAAAAAATTCTAAAAAATCTCCCATTTGGTTTGGCATCAACTTAGCCTAACTCGCACACGTCCTAAATAGTTTTATACAATAATAAAACTTTTTAGTGGCTCGCAAGTATGGCAAAAAACAGCAAGTTGCTGGCCTATACTGGTCAAAATGTACGCAAAACAAATGTACTATTTTCTCTATCTCGGCTAGTATAGGTATACTAGCCAAACGCAGAAGCCAGTAAAAAAATTGTTACCAACGCAAAAAGCGAACTCTTGTGAACCTACATTGGAAATTCCAACGAATATTGCAATCATATGTCAAAAATTATATGTAAATAATTATTTAAACAAAATTTGAAAATTTCTTGAATTTTAAAATTGAAAAAACAGAAAAATTTCAATGCTTTATTTTGAAATTTTCAACATTTTTTCCATTCCTCTTATTTTGCATTCGTTTTAATTTTCAATCTATGTTAATTATTTATTTTTATACAAAATATAATTTGCTTTCATTATGTTATATTTCCTATTTGTGAAAACATAACACTTGACAGGTTGCAACAGTGATTCCAATGTCTCGCGTAGCCAATATAACCCAGCATGCATTTTTTGCCATACTTCCGCGCCACCGAAAAGGTCTAATGTTAAGATGAAATACTTGTTTGACATGGTGTTATAAATTATTTATATAATTTCATTTTTATATAATATAAACTCAGAAATTATTAAAATGATACTATATTTAGACAAAACTAATACAATTATGTCGAACTGAAAAATTAGGCATCTGTTCACATAGCATCAAGAGAAGCTATTCACGTGTTTTCTTCTTTATAAAGATTTAAAATGTTTTAAAATACATAGTGTTTAGAAAACATTGCTATATTGAGCAACATATTTTATCAAGCTATGTCACTAATTACATTAAGACACTTTTACATAAAAACCACCAACAATAATTCGTTTAGCTGTTGTTTCTTGTCGTTTATGTAATAAATCAATAAATTATACACCTTACCGAATCGGTGTGGTTGGAAAGTCGGGATCGCAACAGATAATGTATACGAACACAGTAATCAGTATACGTATACGTAAAATAAATTTATGAAAATATTTATGATATTATTTTATTAATTTTTGAGGTTAGAAAAATTACAGTATCATATGATCATAAATATTATGTTTTTAAAACAAAAATTATCTATTTAGACCGTGTACGAGTTCGAGGAAATTGAGGTAAACTAAATTGAAATTTCCTAGGGGTTTTTTGAACTTCTGTAAACTGAACTTATGTAAATATTTATTTATTTATTTATTGCACTTATTTATTATTTTTGGTTAAACGACCACTGATGAAGAGTACTTGACAATACTCGAAACAGCGTTGTATGGTCAGCCAAACTTCAATAAAATTAAAATAAATTTTTGTGTTTGTCCTTTATTTCTTTCTATGTTATTCAAAAACCCCTCTAAATTTTAATAAAGCTTCTTTGTCACTATACAAAGAAAGTCTAGCTTTACAGCAACACGAATACTTTATTCAATAACACAAAACATTTTAATAAAATTATTTTTTATTGTCATTTTCTATATTCTTATATATATTTGAATTCAATTATGAAAATATTATCTTATGAAAATACTAAAATGGCAACCCTAGCGATTTAATCTCGACTTAGCCACCTCGAAAATATGCTAAGTATCGACACATTACTATATTATTGACACAACTTAGAATTTCCCTCATTTAGAACGCAACTTAGCCTAACTCGCACACGTCCTTATTAGAATATATCATTACAAAAATAATACGATTTATAATCTTTATAGTTTCATGTATTTTAAGAATATGAAGATATTGATAGATTCGTTTTGTACTGAAGTGCTTTCTGTGCTTGAAAAAGCAATGAAAAATTTGATGGGAATGAAAGATGCTTCATATATGAAACAAACAAGAAAAATTAATATTTCTAATAAGTGTTGATTTCCATATGGCAGCACAATTTGTGGAAAGTATTTACTGTTTATACTTGTTAATAATTATTAATAATATCAGTAATGAAAAGAAAGTGTTGAATTTGACATGTATGATTATGTATTGTCAATTTTTAAAAAAATTTGCAATAAAGTTTATGAAAAAACAATAAATGATATATACATACATATGTGCTGTGAACGCGATAGTAAGTAGAAAATGCCAATACAGTTCCGAATTTCCCTTTTTGGCAGCATTGCAACACTTTTTTGCTAATAAATAAATAGTTTTTTTAGCGCACCTACAGGAATTTAATTCATGGAAAACAATTATTATATAAAAATTTAATAATTAAGATCAATTATTATATACAAAAGTACCAAATAATATATAAACTGTTTGGTTATGTAGTCACTATACAACGTTTAGAAGAAATTTTTGTAGTAGCCTTATATCGCATCAAAATGGATGTAGTTGTTATATTGGATACAACTGAAGGTGGTGGTTCATCTCTAGAACGTCAAATTGCCCTAGAAGAAACAAAACAAGCTGTACAGGTAACTTCATTATATAATTAATTGCTCTAATTTTGTTGTTAATGTTCAGTTTATTTTTAGGCTGTAGGTGCAAATTTCCAACGTGTGCATGTATGTTAAAAAGTTATATTTAAAAATATGTGTGAACATAATTATATCTATATACATATATGTTTATATAAAAATTTTATCACATAGTTTGAAAAATTGGATTTTGGTGAAACTAAAGTTTTGGAAACGTTTTATAATGCTGATGTTGCGATTATAGATTTGAGTATTCAAGCTCAACAACGTCCCTTATTCTATCATTTGGGTGTACGAGAGAGTTGGGGTATGAAGGCTAACATTCTGATCTATAATGATGTTCAGTCCAAACAAACATTGTGCCTTAAAGTAAGTATATATATAACATTTTTATTGTCAGCTGTTTGATTTTATATCAAAGTTCATTACGATAAGATAAAGTTCAAATAAAGTTGATACTTGTAAGTAAAAACTTTAATTTTTTGATGCGGTATCTATGTGCATGCCCACGCCTACACAAACAAAATTCAAATTACAAATACAACAGCACTGTATTTTATTTTTTGTTTGTTTATTCTATCTACATACTAACGTAAGCCCACATGCGTATAGCTTCGTTGGATTTTGTTGCCATCACAACGCTTTGTGGGTAGACTGGTTTGTTTTGATTTGAATTTGTTTTGTTAAGCGTTTTTGCATTTTAACATATGTAAAAAGAGGAAATTGCGCTAATGTTTACATTTATTTTCAGTTATCATGTGCTAATTATACTTTTTTGCCTTATAAACATAATGCGGAGTCTTCTGTTTGTAACTTAACAAATTACAATAAAGAGTTACCTGCAGACACTAAAATCCCAACATTATTGTCTGGTTTGAAGCGTCTCTTACAAGATGTGGAAATACAGTCAAAGTAAGTTACTTAAATTGCATTTTTAGAATTGCACCATATATGGTATATATGGTAGCATTTTATATTTTATTCTTTGGTAATGAAACTAGTCATTTTTAGAACACATATGAGAGAAAAGTTTTTATCTGATCTACGGGATGCCCGTGAAAGTTGTGCTACGAATTTAGAAAAACAGAAGGTTTTACATGAAATGCGGAGGCGTCTTGATGATTCTCACGTGCTATCTGGGGAAGTTGTTCATAGTTTCATGTGCTCTCTACGAGATGTGCAGGTATTTTAAATGAATATTATTTAAGAAACTGCTTTTTTTTTATAAACTCTATTATAGGACTACGATGCAATGGTTCGTTTGGTTAGTGATTTAAAAAATATACCAAGTACTCGAAAATATGTTGAGACTGGTAACATGAGTTTCTTATATGCGTTTGCCCTTAATAGACGTAATAAAAAGGGTGATAGAGAGAAAGCTTTAGAATCCTCACTTAAGGCATTGGAAAAGAAAGAAAATGAATTTCCCGACATGTTGTGTTTATGTGGACGCATTTACAAAGATATTTTTGTGGAATCAGATTATTCAGACATGAGTAGTCTGAGAAATGCTATTAAATGGTATCGGAAGAGCTTTGACATTCAACCCAATGAATATGCTGGAATAAATTTAGCCACATTGTTAGTAATAGATGGTAAAGAGTTTAGTAACACAGAAGAATTGCAGCACATAGGCATGACATTAAATAATTTAATTGGAAAAAAAGGCAGCCTTTCGTCACTGTTGGAATATTGGGATGTAGCTACATTTTTTGAAATATCTGTTTTGGCAGAGGATTATGCAAAAGCAATTCAAGCCGCTGAATGTATGTTTAAACTTAAACCACCTAACTGGTATTTAAAATCTACAATTGGAAATATATCTTTAATTCAACGTTCACGTAAGAAATCAGATGATCTGCAAAATAGAGTAGAAGGTCATGTCTTTCAATTTTGGATGGACTTTTTTTTAGAGGCTACAACTCCTGAAAAAATCAGTAACATACGATTTCCAATCCTGGTAATAATGTTTATTATACTATTTTAAAATATAAATCATAACCGTATATATATGTATATATATAACAGATTTTAGAACCACAAAAAATTTATATGCCTAGCTACGTTAACATAAATATGGATGCCGATGAGAAATCGATACAAATTGTAAATATATGTCTTGCACATTCAAAAAATAAATGCAAAAAAGTACACGACTTTGTATTTACTGCATCACAAATAAAATCTGTTAGCTTGTATAAACGTGACGATCGTTGTGCTTATCTATATGTGCATCACAATTCAGATGACTTCCAAATATACTTCCCATCAACCGAATGTCGACAGAAGTTTTATGAACTTATATTAGAAATGGCATCTGATCAGGAAGTGTTTGTTAATCTTAATATAGATGACACACGCCAGATTGAGGTAAGCGGTACTTAAATATCTTATTTACTATAAACAATAAATTACATAATAAATTGCATAATATATACCACTTTGATTTTCAGTACGAATATGACTATGATGATCAAAATCGTAAAATTATACTTGGTAGAGGCACTTATGGAACTGTTTATGCAGCACGTGATAGGCAGACACAAGTGCGTATTGCTATTAAAGAAGTGCCAGAGAAAAATTCACAAGATGTACAACCATTGCACGAAGAAATCAAGTTACACTCACAATTAAGGCACAGAAATATTGTACAGGTACATATATATTTATACCACTACATGATAAATTACTGATATAAATATATAAAATGTGTTTTAAAGTATTTGGGATCCCATTCTGAAGACGGTTTCTTCAAAATTTTTATGGAACAAGTGCCTGGAGGTTCCCTTTCCGATCTCTTGGAAACAAAGTGGGGGCCATTAAAGGATAGTGAATCTACGATGGCATTTTATTCTAAACAAATCCTAGAAGGTTTAAAATATTTGCACGAACAAAAAATAGTACATCGTGATATTAAAGGAGATAATGTACTTGTTAATACATATAGTGGTGTGGTGAAAATATCGGATTTTGGTACCTCAAAACGTTTGGCTGGTATTAACCCCATGACTGAAACTTTTGCTGGTACATTGCAATATATGGCGCCAGAAGTAATCGACCAAGGCTTTCGCGGTTATGGACCGGAAGCTGATATATGGTCGTTTGGTTGTACAAATGTAGAAATGGCTACAGGAAAGCCACCTTTTATTGAACTTGGTTCTGCACAAGCTGCTATGTTCAAGGTTGGTTACTATAAAATTCATCCAATTATACCAGAAGAATTATCAGCTATGGCAAGAAATTTTATATTACGTTGCTTTGCAATCAGTGTAATGGATCGTCCAACGGCTGCACAATTATTAGAAGATCCGTTCTTATCAGAGTGTGTATTATTATACTTTATATATACTCTACAATGTAATAATTGTTTTTTTTTATCAAAATTAGTAAACATCGAAAATTACGTTTAGGTCCACCAACTACTTCCGACTTTGGTCGTAGTATATCAGTTCCTGCAGACCGTTTAGTGCATAAATCAAATAATCCTGCATTAATGACATATGCCAGTGCTACCTGTAATACTCCTACAACTCCGGAATTAGAGTACGTTTTGATTTTGATTTATTTTTCATTTTGATATAACATATGCATGTATGCATGTTGTAATGCTATATTCTTAAAAAAATTTAATTTAATTTGTAGGGTTAATCATTCTTCCTCTGTTGATATTGATGAGTTGCCCAGCAATCAATTTATTTTAGAACGACGGAACTCATCTGGATTTTTGTTATCACCAGAAATAGAAGCATCAACGCCATCGTTGCGTACCCATACCAGTGAAACTAGTGAAACAGATGGCTTTTATCGTTTAAAGAAAGATTCGCAACGACGAACTACTTTGTCAAAAGTTTTGGCACAAGATGAGAATAAAATTTGTAATATTTGGTTAGATCGGATTCAAACAGATCGTAAAATAAAAGTCTCTATCACACCAAATGAATTACAAATGTTAATACGTGGATTGAGAGAATATATAATTAGCGAAAATGAAAAAAATCTAGAAAGTACTATAAATGATTTAAAACAAAGTTTGAATTTTGATGCAGTGGCTTTGGATCATTTACATTTAGCGCTATACTCTTTTCAAGATGCTGTTGTTACAGTATTGCGCTCACATTTTATTAAACCACATTGGATGTTTGCTCTAGACAATTTAGTCAAACGTGCGGTGCAAGCTGCAGTAACCATTCTGTCTCCAGGTAGAACATACGCTCTTGAATCAATATATTATATAAGCGTGATTTTATAAAAAAGGTTTATATTATAGAGCTTGGTGCCAATCTTGCTGGTAAAGAGCTTTCTTGTAATGATGATGAAAGTGTTCACAATCAACCACACACCTCAACCGATAGTCAAGAAAAAATATCAACTGAACATGTTGTAACAACACTTGTAGTTGAAGAAGAATCAAGTTCAACTCCCACGGAATGTCTTAGGATTCTAAAAGATATCAAAGAATCCAGTCGACAATTTCATCGTCAGCATTTGGATTATCAAAAACAAAA